CGGAAACTCGAATTAGACGTTAATAAAACATAATAAGCGGGAATTCTATCGAGACGTGATTTGTTGAGGACAGGATTTTTAACGCGCGCAACGAACGTTCGATAGTAGGAAATAAAAATTCGCGAAACCCATGGAGGGAAAAGTTTATCGATCTCGTTTATCTCGCGATCGTTTATCTCGCGATCTCTGATTAAATAATTAGAACCCGCGGCGAGATAAACGGCGAGCTTGCAAGGAAGAATGGTCGTAAATTGTCGGAGGAAGAATACGGTAGCTTTACTCGTGCTGCTCTTTGACGTCGTGAAGTATTACGCTATTTTGTGGTGACCCCGAAGCATGAAAACATTCATCCACGGAACAACTCGCTAATATACGTGTATCAGCCGTAACCATTAATTAGCAGTCTGACATCCTTCTTGGTCGTTGATAGAAGCTGGAATAATTAAGCTGCAGGACGGAGGCACGTTGCGTGAAACAATGACTTGTCCGTGTGTTTGAAGGTAACGCGATGCACAAAAAGGTGAGATTATGGTCGCGATGTTTTTTTATGCAACGTAAATTTAACGGACGCAAAGTAAGCAGCTAGAGATTAATTGTATAAATCCCGAGTCTCTCTCGAATCCCTTCGGTTCTAAAGTACCGCAGTACGTCTATGAATGAAGCTGTGAGAGAAGAGCGCACCATTTTGCACCGGTTTCGTATAAATCTACCATCTTCCTCGACGGCACGTTGTAATTAACAGGCGACACTTTTCCTTCAATTTCTGCCGGTAAATGGCGGAATCCGCGCGTTTGGTTTTACTGCCTCGTTAAAAATGTTCGCCCAACGACGATGGAATAATCGGACCATGAATTGTAAATGAATTAAAGTGCGGAAAAAATAATTTCTTTATGAAAGAAAAACGGTAGGTAGAAAAAGAGACAGAGAGAGCGTGTGTATTTTTGCTGCTACGCAGCAGTTAATTATAGTTGATCTCCAGCATACAAAGTAATTGCAATTGAAATAATTGCAATTACGAAATGTAAATATGAAATTTCTCCTCTAACGACTCGTTTTCGGAGAATTTGAGACTATTCTCTTATCTCCGTTTAAGAGATATCGAGAAATTTTTAAACAAATTTTATATTTATGCTATACTCTCAGAGCACACGTATTAGCATGAGCGAAAGTGAAAGTTTTGATGCAACTGCTGAATTTACTCGCTTCCCTTTTTATTTTCACCGCAATCAGCGTGCAAGGCTCAACGACATATAATTTTGAAAGAGTTGCCTGCTGCTTATCATTTAGGCATCCATGACGGATTATCTCGGAGGATTGTCCCCTCCGTCCCTAAATACGCCTGTCTCGTTTCCTCGCTTTCTCTTAGGACAGCACTTCCAAAATCTATTATTCTTCAGTATTATTGACTCTTACACCGGCGACGCCGGTTTCGGTACCTTCCTGCCCGCTTTAAGAAATAATGTCGAAAATTTTGTTTGTTTTTTTTTCTCTAAAGATAAAACTTTGTTACATAAAGTATCCCAAATAATTCTCAGTAGTTTTATTTTAAAAGTTTTTTTTTTTT